AACCACTCATCACCCACCTCTGTGTGCCTGGGGCCACAAACGCACTTTTGCGCCGCAAAAGTCCCGCGAGAATTCAGAGAAAGAGAGCGACCCTTAAACGTTGTCGACACACACACACGCCAGGCGTAAAATTGCAAAAGCGAAATTGCTCTCAAGTGTTTGAATAACGGAAAATTATGAAAAATTATAACAACAACAGCAAGAAGAACGTGCAGCAGCAGCGGGGAGTCGTGTGAGATTTTGCGGCCAGTGCAACAATGTGGCAACGCTGCGTGCGGTGGGTGGTGGGTGGTGGTTTAGTGTTTCGCTCTCTGCCCGCAGGCCACTTTGCGCTTAATGTTATTGTTGTTGTCTGATTTTTTTTTGTTGTTGTTCGAAATTAACGAAAATCTGCTGATTCCAGCTCATTGCCATTTTAATTTCATTTGATTCAAACACTAAACAAACAAAAAAGCTGCGCTAAGAGATTGAGCAGAAGCGCTACACTTGGAAAAAAAGTGGCGCTAACTATTTCGGGATTTTCTCAATCATAAGAATTCAGATGTTCTTAAAGTTTTTAATGCATTTCTGCCTTGATTATATTTAAAATTAATATGAAACTCTTTTAATCTTTAAATTATCTAACTAAGTCAAAAATGAAGAAAAGGATGCTTGGATTAGGCCTTAAAACCTAAAAAAAATTCAATTAAAACCCAACTTATTTTAGATAAAAGTATTTAGTTAAGTCTGGTTTTTAAAAACTTCAGTTTTAAAGACAAGTCCCACTCACATTAACTACATTATTTAAGTTTGATTTTGAGTACGCCAAAATCTATGATTTTTTCTCTGAGTGTACTTAAAGTGTTTTTACGGGTGGGCGTATAAATGTGTTTATTTTTGCTACCGAGAATGCAATAATAAATTCATTATAATAATAATAATGGCAACGCATTGATTGCCTAATTGCCGCGCCGCAGGTGGCCCAGATCCCGAGCCACTTGATTGTGCAACATCAAAGCGGCAAAAGGGGCAAGGATTGCTGTTGGTTGTTGTTGTTGTTGTGCTGGGGCGCAAATCCTGGCAACAACCGATCACAATGGCCCAATGAGTGCGCACATTCTTTGCCAGACCCTTTTGAGTGCGGCGTAGACAAAAACCAACAACAATATTTGAAAAGAGACAGCGAAAGGGAGAAACGGAGAAAGAGAGAGAGGGAGAGGGAGAGAGAGAGAGCGAACTGAGATGCTTACTAATTTCTTGGCGACGACAAAGATAAATATTTGCGCTGTGCTTGAAGAGTTTATTGACTTGGCTACGACTACGAGAGTCTACGAGGCTTGAGCATAATGAAGATCATCATCATTCCCGTTGATGATGCTGGGAATCAGGAATCCGAAAACGAAATCACCTCAATCACTTGAGCTGCGGGATTAGGCGTATTTGACTTGCACGCACCAACGAGAACAAAAAAATAAATAAATAAAAAACCAAACGAAACCAAAATAAGCCAAGCCAAAACCAAATGCCAAGATTGAGCTGGAGAGGCTGTGTGGTCAACTCTCTCGCGCGGCTACTGTTTTACCCGTCAACCAGTTGAAGAAGAAGAAGAAGAAGAAGCAGTAGCAGTAGCAGAGAGAAGCGGCGACGGAATGGTTAACCACTCGACTGTCTAAATAAAAATAATAATTGTAAATGATGAAGTCAAAATAAGCAGATCATTTAAATGGCGTTGCCAACCCAATTGTGCATACTATTTGGAATTTTGTGCGTGTTATACCCTGTAATTATTGGAATTGCTAGAGAGGCTAACTTCTCTGATCCTATCAAATAAATACAGGCTTGATTGCCAACCATGAGATATGTCTGACTATCTGAATGAATTCTGAAACTTTAAGAGCTGCTTTTAATTATATTTACTTCAAAATTTATAATAACTTTCATGTCTGTCCAAGTCCATCCTTAGTATTATCTTTAAAGCTAAAAACACAACATTTTATATATTTGTCCGTATAAGTTCAATTATTTTTTAAACTTTGCCCTGCTTTCCTCAAATGAAAATACGCTTTTTTTTTGCTAAGAGTCCATACTAATTTGAACTCAAATTGCAATTGCCTAGAAAACCTATATTTATTTATTTTGTATCCACTTTCACTAAGTTTTCAGAATTCCTTATTCAAATAATGTTTTAAAACTTAAACCAAAACACGAGGAGCATTTTTTAATGAATTTAACATTAAAATTTCAATATAAATTCAGGTTCGTGGAGGAATCTATTCTTACCAAATGTAAATCATTTATTTGAAAGGTTTGTTAAGGATAAAGAATGTTTTCTCCTCAAGATAATTTCACCAAATTGAAAAAAAAAACAACTTATTTTAGAGCCTTTCAGCTAGATATATGCGCATTTTCGCATGCCTTGAAAATATCATAAAGATCGGACTATAAGCACCGAAGTTTATCAAGAACGCATTTCCAAATACAAAAGGGGGGCAAAAGGAACTTTTATAAAACTTTATAAATATCTGAGATTAAACACATAAATTGTGGAAGAAACATCACATTCATTGCAGCGGTCTGGCTACAGGGTATCCCCGATTCAAGCACACTCGCCTGGATCACTCTTTAGTGTTTGGTGATTGCTGTTGTTGCTGATGCTGTTGTCTTAGGCAAGATTTTTAATAATTATTGCCACTTATGGCATTGCCATAGACATAGACATAGACGAGAGGCGAACCACAGCGAGCGCCTCGAGAGAGATTGTGTAGTCTCTGCCGGACGCGGACGTGGACGTGGACGCGGACATGGGCGTAGTGGGCTCAAGTGGTCCTCCGAGCACTTGGCATGCAAATATGCTAAACAGTAGCTGGCCAGGCCGACGAGTGGCAGCTGCTGCTTAGTTTACCTCAGCAAGGGGGGGGGGAGGGGGGAAGGCCAGTGCGCGAGGGGAGCTCGGGAAGATGCCGCTGAAGTTGATTATGCTGCTTAAGTCAATGACGAACGATGACGGTGCACAAGATTTTGGATTTGTCTGCTTGGCATAATTGTTATTGTTGTTGTCAGAGACAAGTTTCAAGTCGCTTTCTTGTATGTTAATTAAGCCAGCCAGCCAGCCAGCCAGCCATCTACCCGGCCTACCAAACACTGTGATGCAGCAAGTTTAGAGTTTTTTTCATTTCAATTAGGCAACACCATAAATAAAACTCATTTCCCAGCTCAAACTCAATCAAATCAGAGCATGCAAACCTTGTCCGCATATTTTAATCCGCTTAGAACGCAGCGCGTTTAAATTGTCGCCTAGGCGAAGGCGACAATTTGGCCCGCGGCCGTACAACAACAACAACAACAACAACAACCAGCTTGTTACTCAGTTTAACTGCTAGTTATCTTAAGCTGTACGGCAAACATGGGCCACAAGCATAAACATCGCAGAGAGTAACTCCCTTTGCACTCCCTTTACCTAGTAGGTGTTTTGGGTCTAATGCACACGCAAATGTCAACATTGTCGCACTTGGCGTGCTTCCACACTGTGCTGTGCTGTGGGTGGAGGGTGGGTTGTAGGTTGGGCGAGATTAAACATTGACCGGCAGCATATTGTCACGGCGACAACAACGGCAACAACAAGCGCTGGTAATCCCTATCAAAGACGCTTTCCCAGCAAGCCCAAAAGCTACGCAACCAAACTCCAAACCCTTCCGCTAATCAGTTGACAGGAACAACAACAACAACAACGAGAGGAACCCGTGGAAAAGGCGTCGCTATCAGCGCCATCAATAAATTGCTTACAAATTAAATTGTCAACTTTTTTGTTTGTCGCACTCGGAATTTCTGTTTGCTCGCCCAACACTAATGGACTTTGAATGGCTCGAACCACCACCCCACAACCACCACGAACACCACCACCGACACCAACTCAACCACTGCTCGGAGCAGTTTTGCATTGAGATTTGTTGCTGATTTGCCTAATGTGAGCCCCGGCCACGGTCTGCGACTCGACTCTGTGGAGGGTTGTAAGCACAGCCTGGGGTAGGCTTTGAGATAGCTGGCTCTTGTTTACATTAGCAATGATACGGCATAACCTCAAAGTTGAGGGCCAGGCCTGTGGCCCATTACTCAAATTAAGTGAATCATGACGATTGTTTTGCAGGGGCAGCAGCCAAAGGAAACCCAACAAATGCTAAACGCTGACAACTAAATAAACAGCAAGAAGTTCACATAAAGTGCGTCTGCTCAGAGATTCAGCTGTGGAGGCTGACAGCGGGAAGGGAGAGGGAGAGGGGCGCACTCAATTGGTTTCGCGCGCAGCATTAAAACGAGCGTGAAATTAAGGACTACGATTCCGGAGATCGGATACACGCTTTAACCCATTTGTAATTGAATTGTTGGACTAGCATTCGACTAGCTTACGAGTGGATTCACGCCTTAACCCGGCTGTGATACAATCGAAAGACTCGAAGCCCTATAAGATAAATCGATGGAAATGTAACTTTAACCAATGTGACTTAATTGAGAGGGTTGCATCCTTAAAACCTGCCCATTGATCAGAATGTTGCCTTAACTCCTTTGTAGCCAAATTGAAAGGCTTTGGTCTAATGAGGTGTTTGGCATATTTGGACTTAAGTAAAAGGTTGTGGTCTTAATGAGTTGTTGGGAATGTTGCTTTACTTCCTCCTAATTTAAGGGCCATTGGACTGTAGATTTTGTCTCTTATTAACTGAAGCTAGATGCTTGTATTACAAGTAAAAACCGTACGGATTGAACTTCCGCTTTAACACCCATTTAACTAAGCGAAAAGTCTTGTACTCTTCAATAGTTTCTCAATGGTTATACAGATTCTAGTTGTACTAAGAAGCTAACCTTATTTAAACTCTTAGACTCAAATATTCTTCGGTTAACCAAGCTAACCTTGTTAAAAGTCTTGGACTGTAATAGTTCTTCCACTTGTCAGCTACCTTCTCAGTTTTATATGCCTGTCTTCGCGCGAACCCTTTAACCCGTCAATAAATATTTTAAAGAAAACTTACCTCCACGCGTTCCTCCTTGAGATCCACCTTCAGAGCCAGCTGTTCACGCAGCACCACATCCGGATAGTGTGTCTTATCGAACGTGGCCTCCAGTTGCTCCAGCTGCTCCTCGGTGAAGATGGTGCGATGGCGACGCTTACGCTTCGGCGGCGGACCATGACCCAAATGGCCCAGGCCCAAATGATGTTGGGCATGGTGCGCCAGGTGGGAATGCGGATGGGCGTGTGGATGATGCGGATGATGGCCATGAGCGGTTAGTCCAGCGGCAGCGGCAGCCGCGGCACCGTGTCCACTGACGTGCGCCTGCATCTGGGCGGCGGCGACGTGGGCAACGGCCGCGGCGTGCATATAATTGGGATAAAAATTGGGATAGGCCACTGCAAAGGACAAAACAAAAGCGAAGGCAAAGCTGATGAAATTCATATGAAAAACAATCAGAGGCGAAATGAAAATTCCTTTAAAATGCGCATAACAAAGCTGAAAAAGCAGAAACAGCAAACGTTGCCATGCGAACGGGCGCGCTTCCAGTTGCAGTAACCCCCGCCCCCGAGCCCCGCAAAAAAATTACAAAAAAATAAAACCGTTGATGTTTTAATATTCATGCCAAGGCGGCGGGCAGGCGGGACTTTGAATTTGAATGTGAATGTGGCGCATGTGGAAGGCCCGGCGCAAGCGTTTGCATAAAATTCCGTCATGGAATCCTACGCTCGAATCAACATAAGACCTTAGCCAAAGGACTGACAACGTTTGCCCTAACCCCCCCCCCCCCCCCCCCCGGACACGGACACATCCGTTTCGACATCCAACAAGGACTTACAATGCAAATCCTCTCACCGCAAAATGGAACGGAATTTTGAAATCATCTTTTACGGATCAATGCCTAATTATGAATAATGCCATTCAGCCGAGCCAACGGAATGGTTCAATAAATTCCTGAATCCGTTCAAGGATCCAAAACAGATTGACGGCAATAACCTTAAGGTGTTTGCCAGCTCAACGGAAGAAGCCGCAGCAATGGGCGAAAATGTGTGGGTGGGTTTGTTGGCCCACCCACTTTGCTGTGGGGTGGTTCTCACTCACCTAGAAAATCCGAGGGGGAGGCGGCAAAACCGCTCGCTGCCGCCGCCGCCAGATGGCCCAGATGCAGTCCAGGATGCTGCAGCATGGCAGGAACCCGTTGCGGTCGGATCGGGCTGGCGGCGGCGCTGGAACTCGAATTGGAGTTGGGTGAGGCAGGTGACTCGGCGTTGCGTTTGACCAGGCCCAAGCCCAGGCTGCCGTTGATGCTAATGTTGTTGTTGTGGTTGTTGTGGTTGTTGCTGCTGCTGTTGTTGTTGTTGATATTGTTGTGGGCATTGCTGCTGTTGTTGCCGGCGCCCGCTGCGGCAGCGGCTGCAGCAGCATTGCGTGATCCCAAAATGCTGTCAATGGTGAAGAGCGAGGCGGCCGCAGCGGAGGCTGCAGTGGGTCCGCTGACGCGCGGACGCTCCTCGTCCAGAATGGTGACGCCCGACTGGGAGCCATCATCAGAGGAGGGCGTCTGCGATTGCGGCTGTTGCTGCTGCTGCTGTTGTTGTTGTTGTTGTTGCTGCTGCTGCTGCTGCTGCTGCAGCACCGACTGTAAGCGTTGGCCCAGATAGCCGCATTGCTGGGAGTTGAGGAGCATGGCGGTGGTCAGGTGATAGGCAGCATTGCTGGCATTGGCCGGCGAGCGTGAGCGTGGCATTTGTCGTGGCGGCTGCTGATGCTGCGGCTGATGCTCGCCGAGGTCGCTGGCGCAGCGCTTGAGCACGTAGCCCGCCGGCGGGGAATTCGTTTCGACCATGTGGCCGAGTGTGCTGGGCGGCGGCGTGGGTGGCGGTGAGCCCGGCGAGGGGCTCGGCGTGCTCACAACGGTGATCTTGAACTTGGCCTTGGCCGAGCTGCTGTCGCTGCTGGCGCCTCCCGCTAGCTGCGACGGCGTGGTCCACAGTGATGACAGAATTTTGGCGGATTTTGCCTGACAACTTGTCTGGGAAGAAGAAGTCTGATGCTAGCGGCAATAACTAACTATAACTTTAACTAACACACACACGCACGCACACGCACACGCAAACACTTGAAACACACACGCGACGTGTTTTTGCTTTTGGCTGAAATAGATTATGCGTGCAACGGAAACTGAACCCTTCTTGTTCGCTCGAGCTGCGAAACTGTTTTGAATGCCACTTTCAGCGACGGCGACGGCAGCAGCAGCAGCGTCGACGACGACGACGACTACGACAAGTTGTCAGTCTCTCCAGCATACACACGCACTCACACTCTCTTGCCAGCACACGCACACTCACGCCAAGCAGACATTTTCGTGCGTTGACCAATCAGCGCACAGCTCAGCTTAGTTAAGTCCACGCCTTTGCGCTCGCTCTGGCTACCATAATGAACGCAAGAGGGAGAGAGAAAGAGAGAGAGAGAGCGCGCGCGCGAGAGCAAGCAGCTGCTGAGAGCGCACTCCGTGTTGTTGTTGCTTTTGTTCTTGTTCTGCTTTGATGGTGGTGGCTGCTATGGTGGACGCCCTCTGGCTGCCGCTGTGCGTTGCGTGAGTGCGACATCTACTACATCCGCATTTACCGTTACCCGTTAGCTAGCCGCAAAGATGGCGCGCTGAAAAGATAATGCTCAGCTGTCTCTCTGCATGAAGCTTTCGCCCTACCGCTGCCGCTGTGACGTGGGCGTGCTGCTCTCTCTCGCTGCTGCTGCTGCTGCTTAGTTTTTTTTTTCATTTTTCTTTCTTTTCGCTCCTGACAGTTATTTATACAGATAAAGTCATCACTGACATCCCCCGCGGCTCGCGTCAGCGTGCGTGTGAGCGAGCGCGCGATATATTAGCTAAGCAGCTCGCACTCACTGCATAAACTGGCATAAAAATGTTGCCGTAATGTGGAAAATTATGTGCTGGAGTTCGCGCTGCTCAGATTGGGCTTGGCAGACGATGTCGGGGCTCGCGGGCTCGCGGGGGGACTCGGTCGAGTTGCCGACTGCGCTGCGCTGCGCCGTATCTTAAGAAGATAATGACTAAATTAATGCTTTTATGTTTTTGGCAACACATAAACATCATTATGCGCTCAATCCTCGCTCGGGCGCACGCTCCTCCAGCGATGGGCGGCCGGAAGGGTGGCGGCTGCGGCTGTGTCTGCCTATATACGGGCCAGTTGAATGTGGTTAGCTTGTATATAGAAAGTGTGGTAGAATCCCGAGAAGTCGGCGCCATTTACTGATTAATTGGTGGGAGTAAAGGGGCGAGCATTACGAATTGGTAGATCCAACCATACTTATGCATGTGTGTGAGTGTGTGTGTGTGTGTGTGTGTGCATATGAAAATATTTTAATCTAAAGTTTCCACATCAAACATGCCCAAGTGCAAATCCCAAATTTCCTCGAGGCACAGAGAACCAAGCTCTGACTAATGATAAATGCAATGCCAGCCAAACTGGACCCCAAAAACTCGATGTGTCAACTACATGGAAGCAGCTTATATGCATCGTGCATACTTCAGCTCCAAGGCGGAGCTGCAGTGTTCGTATGTAACAAACTGATTAGGTGGGCGCCACAGCCACCGCCACCGCCTGCGCCGTCCTGTAAAAGGATGAAAGGATCTGAGCAACATGGGCGACATGTGCGAGCTGCTGCTGAGGCCACGCTCCGAATGTTGCCAATGCTTTTAGAAATTATTGAATAATTAAGCAGGCCAGCAGCAACTGCTGCTGCTGCGTTCCCCTTTCCCAGCTCTCTCTGCCTGTCAACCATTGGAGCGTTAATAGTCAGCATCGAGCTCGGCTGGCTTGGGGTTATTCGACTCCTCCGCCTGACTACTATTTGTTTTAGCTCTGAACTTCTTACATGTACCAAACCAGCCACTCCCGACGGGAATTGGCGACACAAACACACACACACACATTCTCGTTGTTGGAGTGCGCCTCGATAAGCTTAAAAGTTGCGCCAGTGTAGAGAAGCATCCAATTCTCGAACTTTACCACGTCCAGCATTTGGATTTTTATTTCAATGCCCTTGCAAAGGGTACCTTTAATATGTTAGCTTATGCGCAACGCACTCTACAAGACATTTTTGAGCTATTTTTGACTAAATATTCTTGATTGGGACAAACATTTTCTCTCTTTAACTATGTGAACTAAGCTCTACTTGCTAGATAGTTAAGAATCGAATACGAGGAAGCGTAGACTCCCAGCAGAATACTCTGTAATGTTTGTTGTATTCATCATATAGGAACGGAAACTATTCATCCATAGTTAGTTGAACAATATTTAAGGCAGAAAGGTGTATAATTACAGGTCGGTCTTGTAGGGACAGATATAATATTTATCTTATCTCAAGTTACAATAAATAATAATATGAAATAATTTGAGGAATAAGTAACAGCTATAATGATTTAAGTTCAATTTTTTTCCAGTTATTTAGAATAAACAAAAATTGCCTAGCTTTTCCCTTATTAAAGAAATTCTTTAACAATTTTGATAAGGTGTTTGGGAAACCCTCTGAATGGGAGGTTCTTTGCGGCTTTAACATTTTTAAGCGAAGGTTGACTACGGAAATGGTTAAATGGAAAATCATACTTCTTGGTACAGCTAAATCGAAATCACGAATGAAATATTCCATTTTTTTATGTTTTATATATTTCCGCTAAGTTTGCTGACAATTGAAATACTCTATAATAGAGCTTACATACGATCAATTGGTCGCAAATGGAGTTCTTGTATTATAGAATACTTTTACATATGTCTAGTAGAGTGTATTCTTCCTTTTTCTCTTCTCTTCTTCTTGTTCAGGCGTGGCTGAACTTTGAATAGGGCAATATTAAAAATAACATATTTCATATGTCTTAAAGAGAATTGTATCCATTGTATATATTGTGTGTATTCCAAGATCATTCGAATATTTAAATATTATGAAATAAGATTCAGATTTCACATAAAGTGTGTTTAGATTGCGGCACCTCAAAATTGAATTCTTTCTCTTTATCCTATCTTCTTCTTGGTCAGACATGTTAGAACGTTGGATATGAAAATATTAAAAATTGTACATACATATGTCTTAAAGAGTGTTTAGATATCGGCACGCCAAGAACTGTATGCTTCCTTTTTATACCCTGAACTCATTAAAAATGGGTAAACAGGGTATAATGTATTTGTGCAAATGTATGTAACAGGCAGAAGGAAGCATCTCCGACCCCATCAAATATATATATTCTTGATCAGCATCAATAGCCGAGTCGATCTAGCCATGTCCGTCTGTCTGTCTGTCCGTCTGTCCGTATGTATGAACGCAAGGATATCAGTACCTATAAGAGCTAGAGACTTGAAATTTTAGCTGTAGGTCCTCCTAGCGCTGATCGAGTTTGTTCCCGATATTAGATAACTTGCCCCGTTTCCAAGTAATCGATTAAAATCGATATCGAAATCCTGTTTTTTGGGCAATTCCGGCAAATAATGTAAGCTAGAGTCACCAAACTTGACATGTAGCTTCTAGAATATTATGTATACATCAAGTATTTATCATATGGTACCTATCGCCTGTCGGAAGAAGAGGGTTCTAGGTATCCCCTAGTCGGGAGCTCCCGACTAGAACCTCTTACTTATTTTCTTATTGTTGAGACTTGACAGATCTTTGTAATATGGGAATATTATCCATAAAGTCGTCCTTTTCTTCTTCTCTTCTTGTGGAGACATGACATATTATTCGATTTTAGAAGAGTGTTTAGATATCGGCACGCCAAGCATTACATTCTTCCCATTTTTTTCTGTTACGTTCCTCATCAGATTTTTTCTCGTATTTTTTCGCATTTCCTTGTTTTGCAAAGTGAAACTTTGGTTTCGTTTTGGCTGTGTAACCGGGTCTCTGGCACTTTTTGTTTTAGTTCGTAGATTGAATTTTAAATAACAAATTAAATTAACTCGTCTAAGTATTGTGCGACTCTTTGCCAAACGATTGCCACACCCTGCCCCCCCTGCTGCACGATCTACCCCGCACCGCGTGCCTCGGCCAGTTGGAGAAAAAGTTCAATTGGCAAAGGACTGTGTAAACACTGTGGGAATAAAAGGTTTTTCTACTTTCGTACAACTCCGTGTAGTCCGGCTGCCTTCTGCTTGTTGTTGCCATTGGTCGGTCGCTCCTGATTCCTTGGCTCATGATGGATTTTTATTTCGATTCTCAATTCGATTTTGATTTCGTTGCGCAAAAATGGCGCCGCCGGCTAAATTTGTTGCCGTTTGCTTGAACTCTGCGCTTGCGAAATTAGAAAAGTTTTCGCTTTTTTTTCTGTATACCCTGAACCTATTGAAATTGGGTAAGGGGGTATGATAGTTTCTTGCAAGTGTATGTAACAGGCAGAAGACATCGCTGAGCCCATAAAGTACGAATATATTGTTGATCAGCAACAACGGCAAGGTCGATCTTAGGGATTATAAGAGTTAGAAGCTTGAAACTTTGAACGTAGGTCATCCTGTTGCCCGCGCAGATCTAGCTTGCCTTGAAATTATCGATAACACGATAAGTTTCAACAAAATCGATAATAATCGTTATAGACATTCTTCTTTTTGGTTATATCTCGGTGTTCTTTAGAGCTAGAGACACCAAATTTGCTTCAAGCGTGCATCAAATCACCGATAACAGGAACATCTTGTGTAAAATCGATAAAAATCGTTATTGACATTCTCATTGTTGATTATATCTCGCAGCTCTTTAGAGCTAATGCCACCAAATTAAGTACGTTGGCCCTTTTATATTATATGCATGTCTAGCATATTTCACTTTTTGACTAGCTCCTCCAGCTTCCCTCAAATGTGTGAAAATTATATTTTTGTAGCCATAGTCTTGGGCATTGGTATTTACACACATTTTGATGCTAAATTAATGCCCTGAAAATTGTATACAGATCCGAGCATAAGAACTCGAGTTATTCAAGAACGCATATTCTAGAAAGTGGGGTTAGGTAAGAAGAAGCACAGCTTGTACAGCTTGGAGCGTGGTATTGTG